CTCCTAGGTGACCTTGATGTATCAACCCCAGTGTTTGCGCATGACCTAATCCTGTAGACCCTTAACCATAACATTTGATGTTGCAGCGTAGGATCAGACCTGATCTGGTTATATATCGAGGCTACGGTGCTATTTTGCTCATTGTCTACCCATAAAGGAACATGAATTGCGTTCAGACTGGCTCACGGTTATGATGTAGATATCGAAGGCTGAAAATTGCTTCCGGAAGGTAAGGTCAATGATGCTACGGTTTCATGTTGAATGGCAGTTAATTGTCTAGGTTAAACCGCAACGAGTAACTTACGTACATATCATTTTGCTTAACATATCACGGCCACATGGTCGCGGTGTCTACCTTCCTACCCTTGGTTGGCTAAGACCAACGTTTCCTTCTCCTGCCGGTATCCACCCACCAACAGCTACACCAACAGTTACGCTGCTCCTCAGCGTGGGCAGGATATTGGCAACCAGGATTTGTCACTCTCTTTCCTTTAAAATCCATCAGCACCTGGTAGCATGGTATGGTTTCTGAATAAACGATCCGCTGGAAACAACACTCAAGGGATTCCTAGATAGTTGTAGTTCCAGCTGATTGTGAGTCCCTAATACTCGCTAAAAGTCTGTGTAACTTCTAGTAACGCGGCATTCGCACTCCTTTCAAAATTGCTTTAATCAAGTTGTACTTACTTACACCCCTACGTTTCAATTAGCCCACCTGTTCGCGGTGCCTAAACCAGTAACCGTAGCACCTTGCTTACTATCCTATTCGGTGGATGCGCAAATTTCATCCGTTATGCACGAGCCATTTGTTACCAGTGAAAGCGATATCCAAAGGAAAAAGTTGTTTCCACAATTAATAATGCGTCCTTTCAGGGTTACAGCAAGGTACCGTTGTGCACTTTTTGACTTGTATGATTAATGTACTTGACTGTACGACAACCACAGCACGTGAAACCCCAAAATACAGTGCTAAGACAATTTATGGGAAATATATATACTTTTATTGTGGAAACATACAATCTCGCTATCTGAATGGCAAGAAAGGTTGAACCAGCTACGGGAGATGGGGAAGTGAATAACAGTTCCACGTAACAAACCGTGCGGATGCACAGGCTAATTGTTACATGTACTGCTGATTAAAAGAGGCAAACAATCAAGAGCGACATTCTTTAACGCGTACTACCTAGTAACCCAAGAACAACGTGGGATATAGTCATATAATAGTTTGCACAACGTGCAGCAGACGCGCAGGATAGGATGCTAGGAGAAAATCCCCGGTGTTGTGCAATTTAAAACCACAGACCTACCTGGAATAAGTTTTCTTGCGGGCAGTCGAGTACACGGCATGCCACTAGGGCATCAGCGCACGGTATGTTCTAATGCATAGTGAATGCACAGTTGCAAACCAGGGCGCTTGTAGATTTTACCCGAAGGGATCGCCCATGAAAAGTGCGCACATTCCAGTACCTCTGGTCATATCCCATGACTGTCACCTTTGTTACCGAAAGGGGGTACAACAACCATTTACGGGGATACGTCCCCAGAGAGTTTTATCCAAGCTCATGTATGCTTTCGCTAGGCGACTTTCCCTTGCTGCAGCTTCGCTTGCACTTCTTCTGATCCAGCCTTGTTTGCTTGCCACGTGCAACACGGTGAACATAAATTCACATATGTTTTATTTTTTACTTCATGATTCCGTCGTAATACCTGCTTAAACAATTGAAGTGAACTTAACCTACGGGACAAATTGCGTTTCAAGTGCTTATTCTACGCCTTTCCTTTGTTCGTAATGAAATTACCCAGACCATTTATACCTTGTAAAATGTGTTCCGCCTCGTTTTCCGATGTAGAAGAGCCCGGTGCCACTAAGATACCTAAATGCCTCCTTAATTCAAACACCGATGGCAGCAAGCAATTTGTCGAATTGCGGTTCGCTTTGCGTTTACACCAAAATACTCCCCCATTGCACAAGTTTACTGCGGTCCATAACGCTGCATCCTTGTCAATGAGAGCAACGCTTTCGCATGTACCTTATTGAACGGATCGGCAAAACATCATATGCGCAAATGGGATGCATGATTTGAAAGCGTTCATTTGCACTAAGCAGCGCTCTAGCACCAACGTCCTTGCGGTACAAGCTTTCGGTAGATGCTCCGTCGTTCGCTGCACTGCATCATAATAACAGAGCCCAATTTCTTAAGGCAAACGATAAAGGGGAAATTATGAGCGAAGTCGACATCTCCAACTCGCGCTGCATGTCATAGCACATAAGCAACGTGCGTGTGATGGTGTGTGGCGTCTGCCAAGGTGACATGGCAGCCCCGATTATATAATGGTATAACACTTTGCAGTTTGAAACATACCTACTGCACTATACCTTCGTTATCCACCCTGTCGGTTATCCCTTCCCCACAGCAGCCATGGCACGCGAACGGCATGATGCCCACACTTTATTATACCGTGCCGGTCACGTATAGCCATGCCACCTGCACGTTCAAACCGCACTTATAAGGCAAAAAGCGCAAACTCTTTTCACTCACCCGTATTCTTAAAACGCTGCATGAGCTCGAAAACTTGCTCCTTACACTCATGTGAGAGCCTACAATTACCCATGTATAATGGCAGTTGTCCCATGTTTAAAACATGGCTATGCAGCATTGAGTAGTCCGTGGCTGGCTAGCCGAACAACCTCCTCGTTGTGTCAGCTGGGTGGTTCGGGTTTAACCCGCTCCAGCGAATAGTGCGGCGGCAGTGTTTCAGGACGTCGTGGGTTTTCGCCTGGCAAGCCTTCTCCCTATAAAAAGCCACGCATGTCTGCATAACAAAACTGTGACGTGGCGGTCGTGACTACCCACAAAATAAAGTCAATTCCCCGTGGATATCCGGATAATTCTATCCAAACTACGGACACCAATCTGTTACTCGCATATTGATGACGATATCAAACATTAAGGTTGGAGCAGCACAATTAAAGGCACAAACTACACAGCTACATATACATGCACACACAAGGTCATGCTTACATACCCCCTATACAAACACACGCTGCTATGGCAACCATATTGGATTTTTGCAAATTCTTGATCATGCATTGTTATGTCAAAATGATCATGCCTGTAAAGGCCTGCCTCAACTTGTTGAGAATAAAAGCATTAATTATGTTATACAAACAATCGACAAAACGACAAGTAACATGAGCGGTATAATTGCGGTCTCTGTAACTAACAAGACAGCTTTAACAGGCTAACTGAAGTCCCTTACCGGGTGCTTTCTTCACCTTTCCGGTGGACATGAACGAATACCTACTTCATCCTCAGATAGGCCATCACATTCGGTAGCACAATACCATAGCTTCGGTGGCAAAACCGGCATGTTCAGAATTTTATAAAAAATTTGACATGCAGGATTAACCTTGAAATCACGAGAACTCTTCTCTGAAAGCTCCATTTGTTCCATATTCCATTTCCATTATATGTTTTAATAACAGACATCGTCCACCAAATGTTTTGTTGCTGAATTGTGCTACGGCAGCCCTACTCCCTACTGGAACCCATCTCGTCCATAGCGATGGGAAGTATAGTGTTCATTATGGTGCGTTCCCTTATATGGATCCACAAATTCGTCAATTTAAAACCATCATTGAACAAAATTTCCATTTAATTACCCATTTTACCGTTTCAATCTGTTTCCAAAAGCGCTGACCACGATTTTAATTTTTACTTGCGATTTCCTCATAACTTTGCCAGCTACTGCTGGTAGAGGAATTACATACTACTTGTGATTTCAACCTGGCGATATTAGCCGATTGGTGGCGTGGAGGTTCTCAGAATTTCGTGCCAAATATATCTGTGTAGCCAGATTTCGCTAATGATCTAAGCGCTACTATTGCAAGCTGCTGATAACCCATTGTAACCAATTAAAGAAAAATTACTTTTATTTAAAAATTAGTGGGTAACGTAGGTAACTGCGAAAGACAGAAAGGCATTTCCTAGGCAGGAAAATTTATACAGTTTCAATGTTCCTACATTCAAAAATAAAGCATTAGGTCTCCATATCACTGTGCACTATGTCTAGCTTATTGACATTCAAGGTGACTGTAGCTACTACAATACCAGCACAGTCAGCATTCCACCGGTAGTCCGGGGCTCACAATCGTATATGTTAATCGCGTGATGCTTCAATGGATGACATAACTAATTAGTTGGATATACCTGGTGGAATAGGTTGTCGTAGTGCAATAATATTCCACGAAATATGTCAGAACATGGAACACCGTTTCCGCATACGTACCGAAGGCCTCGTGAACCGGTAGTTATCTTAGCCTATATAGGTCTCATTAACTTGGCTCATTAAATTTACGCATTAAAACCAATTAATAAATGTCTATTACTGGCGCAAGAAGCTCTGAGGACTGAGGCACAATACACCTAGTGCCGAATGTCAAGAAATGTCATGGTTGCCGTTCGCCATAACAGCTTAAAAGGACCTTAGTTATTGGAACCTACCAATACCGTCAACAATAAAAATGTATTGCGACTTCGGTTTATTTCGGAAAGTCAGGTACCTACTATGAGCTTACATAGAAATATCGATGTGAACTATTGTTTTCTGAGCTGCGTTTCTCGTCGTTCATCCACTGTCAATTCTGAGTAAGCCAGTTAAAAGTTACACGAAATAAGACATCCTTGGTGAATTCTCAGGTTTACAAATGGTTAGTAGCTGATCTTTCCTTAAGCAACTACGGTATACTTGCAATTGTGTAAGGTAAAGCTTAATGCATAACAAAACAAAACTTGCAGCTTTTTCATTTTCTTGCATTTTTAATACATATCCTTCTGTAGTTTCCGTGAGTAAACATTTAAGACGTTAACCCGCTAAAACTTGGATGCATTAAAATTAACGGTACGTTCGTTGTCTTATCAGCATAATCAGGTTAGCCATTTCGTTAATCACGTTTGCTAACAATTGCAGATTGCTTTTGTTTTAACTACCAGATTGTTACCTTCACTTGTTAATGTAAAGCGCACGGATTTAACTGGTAAATAAGGACTGATCAAAGGGACCGCAAGTAATTCTTTCTATTCTGAAATATTTTGGAGAATACCTTTTAATGCCAATAAGAGATATCTTACATGCTATACAGGATATTTCAGATTTCGATGGTTTTATGCAAGGAGTATTGAACTCTCAACAACAAAACTATTATTACCATAGTGCAAAGCGAAAACGAAAGACCTGTGTACCTCAGAAAAGAGAAATATCCGGAGATGAAATGGATTACGACCTTAAATTAGGTTGTTCTTTTGAGGCTGCAGAACCGATCAATTTAATAAATAAAGATTCTCCAAAAAGTAATCAGATATGTGAGAAGGCTGAAAAACACAAGGAAAGTTCAGATTCTGAAAATAAAGGACATGTTGAACAAAACCGTATTTACAATTTATTACTGAATTACCTCCTAATGAAATATCAGCCGCAAATGCTGAATGGACATTTTCCGTTTGATCGTTATAAAAACGAACTTATAAACCGTGAAAATTCATCATATACATCTACATCGTCGCTGGTTGATACACATATGTCGGAATGCGCTTCATTTGAGCGCCCGTTTGCTTCAAACTTAGATTCGTTCAACGGATGTAATTATTTTCATCAAAATGGAAGCGAAAATTCCTCTGATTTCCCAAGCAGGTATCCACAATTTCTGGATATGACCTGCAAGCAGTCAATCATTTACTCTATCCACTCATGCGTACATTCCATTCCACCACCAAAAACCGGGATGTTAAACTATGACAACTTGGTTGTTATCTACAAAGCTCTTATTGAAAAAGCATATGCTTTACAAAATTCAATAGACCAATATTTAACACAATTTCAAAATGCTAGTATACCAGCTCCCCCCAACTCGAAAACGCAATCGGGTGTGTGTGTGCCAGTAGCAGAAATTGGATTACAGTCTCCGAATTCTACTGTTCTAATACCTTCAGTGCGACCAGCACTTTCGAAATTAAAGTTCAACTTATATCAAAATACGAACGATTTGTTTTCCCATTCCCGCGAGTTACAAAAATGTAAAACTGCTTATTCTGCTCATTCGAAATCTGAATATTCTACATATAAAGCTTCGTCACATCCTAATTCAATCGCATTTAACGGAATACAAGCTTGTAAAATTGACGACGGATGCACTTTTCCTGTTGATCTAACTAAAAATGAGAAGTGTGAAAACCGAAAGATTATAGCAGAGAACGAGAAGGAAAGCGTATTTGAGTATGGACTATCATTTACAAACGTGTGCGGCTATAACTTGCCCAAAACAAATAAAGACAGATTGACATTTCCTGCCTTAGCATCGAATACCTTCGAATATAATCGCTCACCACACTCAGACCACTTAGATAATGCCGCGCCGTATGGCACGAGAGAACGTGAAGAGTCACCACTTGGTTCCTCCAGCGAGAGTGCAGCTGTTATCCATCCCGATTTACTAAATAGTAATCCAAGAAAAAAGGCGTACTTCAAAAGCAAACGGCTGAAGAAAACTTTCACAGCTAGTAGCAGCATGTTCTCAGAAAACGAAAGTCCAGATGGAACGCAAGTCAAAAAATCTAATTTTAGAGGGACAAGTGAGGAGGAAAACAAAGTCTCTCCAGAGTTCAGGCCTATTGAAGTAAACGTAAGTTATAATGATTTAAAACTAAATAGCTGATTTTGTTTTGGATTATAATATTTATGGCAGCATAATATGTTTCATGTATAAAGCAAGTAGATTGTATAAGTTCATGTTCTGAAATACAGCGGAATTGTGACGTTGAATAATAGCTTAGTATTAATACAGATGTAGCACTAGGACTACTAAATTTATCAACAATGCAACACATCTTATCATAAGCTTTAGTTTACGTTACCTTTAGACATCAGCAACGCAACTTAAAGCAACCGTTTGCGTTAATGATGCGGCGCTTTATGTATTTGCTGTCTAAGAATTGCAAAGTTAATGCTGCCATTAAAGAAAATAATTTTTTAACTTTTGTTGCTCACAATATGTTTTACCAGTTGATAACAGTTATCTGGCAGCCTTTAGTAAGAAGAATAATATAATCTTTAGGTTAATTATCTGAAGAAATATTAATAGAGCCTTAATGGGTCCTTTAACTTTCCGACAAATACAATTGCAACTCATGCACCCCTCTTCTGTATAAGTTTTCACAAGCAAATCCTTTGGAGAAAAGTGCTGTATTATTAAAGCACGTATAAAAGCAATCCCGCGGCAAAGCTCATTCTAGGGTGCTATGTCTTATTACTTTTTAACGTACAATAAAGGCACTGTTTCATTCTACCATATTTTTAATAAAGTTTTACACAAATATCTTACATAATCAAAGTAAAGCAAATGCACGTATGTCCAGAAATGGACAAGGATTAGTGTTTAGGATGAAATGCTTTAGCACTAACCAACTTGAGTTCTTAGGAACTTGTCTTAGAGAAGAATATTTAGATAAGAAATAGACCCGTTTTGTTTTGCCCTCTAAATTTAAATTTGTCCAGATTCTACACTTACAGCAAGAATACATTTCATAGCTGTGTAATGTAAATGTATAAGCATAATTTGAGCATTTACTATTACCTAAGCTTTCAAAATACAAATGTGACGTCATTATAAAATGGTGATTATTAGGTTTACAGTACATAAACATAAAAGGTCTCCTGGGGAAACCTATGATTGCTCTTTTATAGCCATTATATTTAAAAAACCTTACGTACGGCATGCCGCAGTCATAATCTGTTTGATCTCAGCCGCCTTTAAGTTACTCTCTTTTGCGTCATCTACAAAATAGCTAACTCCCGTGATAGTTAGATTTGCAATCAGATAGTTAGGTTCCTACTAAAGTAAGGATAAAATGGACACATTCTTACAATAAGCCGATTGACAGAACACTGTTTCAAGTGTTAGCAGGCTAAGGTAGTAATGTTTCTGAACTTTAAGTGTGCCTATGACTTTGTGTTTAACTGGCTTCATTGGGAATGTTTACTTCTTATAGGGTACATAATAAATATGTAAAATACATCACGACGCCTTAATGGCATATTCATGGTGGGGTGCAGATTTATGATTGAAATCCGCTTCCCTTCTAAAGCTCTAGACTTGTTACCTAAGGCAATTCAATATCACGCTTTCTATTTAAATTTATCACTGATAAATTCATGAAAAAGTTTTCCACCGGACACAACATACACAGAGTGAGGCTGATTTCCTCTGAATGATATCATGACGTGAATTATGCGGATGACATTAATTTAGTCCGCGAAGGCTGACAAGTTCCTCTGGATAAATTGGCATTAACTGTTAGTCGCTTTGCGTTTTGCTTTGCGCTCCCAGAATGCATTCACGTAGTAGTATTTTGTATGCCGTTGCAAATTCTAGACATTAAATCAAGAGTTTTAACCAGACTAGTCGCTATTGAACGTCATTGCCTTTTCAGTTTAGCTCTTGTCTGGAGAAAACACCGCTTAGGCGATATTAGTTGAAAAGTGAGCTTCTTAAGTGCAGGTAACCTGAGTGAACTGTCCGGCACAATTATGTCAAGCCTCTGGCCGCGGTGTTTAGGCTAGCTTTGCGCAGGCCAGCATAACAAATCTTGCAACCTGCGTTGTTAATGCGTTTTGGGTCTGGATAACAGAAAAGCAGTGGTAGAAAATAGACAATCTACACATGGGAAATAAAAGCCCACTATGAGCCTAGCATCCATTATTATTTCCTGACTTCCCGGTCTGAGTCCCAAGGACAATGAACGCGTTTGGTTGGATACAATTGTTAATATACCAAAGCGTCTACCTCTTTGGCGTTTGTAAGTTCCGTTTTCTTAATTCTCAAATCCACGCTACTCTCACGGACCATGAGCACCTACTTCATAGCTAATAGAACACATAGCGTTGCGAAATTTTAGTATTTTTGTGTATTTTTTTACTATCGCTATTCCTAAGTCGTCTATTTATGTAGTGTAATGCAGCAGTTGAAGTGAGATTTCTTAACTTCAGAAAACATGTATTAATCATAAAGTTATCAAGACTTAAGAGTACGTTCACTTCCCTTCTAATAATTTGATAGCACTTTGGAGACGTTAATAAATCTTTTCTTCCCAAATTGAAAACACGGCATAGTAAGAAAAATAAAACCGTTTAATCTGTTTATTATTTTTTTACTTAGAAAAAGGCATTATTATTACGTTACCTTAATTCACATTTACTCAGATGCTAATGCTTATACAGTATAAAAAGCGTCTGAGGGTTAAACAAAATATTGAAGTTTGGCAAACTAATATTTAACAAACATTTCTGCCAGTATTAACACCTTTTACCTGCTAACAGTGCAACAGCAAAATTACATGATAACAAGTTTGCCTTAAAAATTGCGGGATGCACAGTTAGTTACGATTATAAAATGAAGTTTGCAGGGTAAGATAGAATACGTTGATATATAATACCAGGTTCTGATTACACTCAAAAATATCTAGCTTGTATGGAAAATAGCTAAAGTTAAGCAGGTTATACCGTATCATGGATAAAAGCTTGTATCCAACGCAGAAGTATATAAATTTTGTAAGCTGCTAAGAAAAGCAGAAACTAGTGTCTGTGTAAATATGTGAAATATGCAAAGTTTAGACATACACAATACAAACTAATTTGGAAAAGACTTACAACGCACCTGCACAGTTTTGTAAGATATAACTAGCACAACTTGTCCTGACTGCCAGCACTTAAAAATATTAATTCTTAGAATTTGCTGTTATTTATAAAATAAATTCTTTTATGGGAATCTAGCTTCTAAGTTAAGTCCTTGTTAGTTGAAGGACCTTTAAGCAGGTCCTACATTTCCTTCCTCAAATATTTACGGTGATTGAAACATTGGAACATTATATTTAATGGAAATAAAAGCTGGAGTTTTACATGACCTATAGGGTAAAAAGAATTTGGTTTGGGTCTAATAAAACGCCAAGCAACCTTATAGCGGGTTGGACTCGCGGGTTAGCCGTATCTTCCCCGAGCCTATGCGACATTTAAACGGAAAGCACGCGGGCTCAAAATGTGGCATCCCACCACGCCCTCCGGAACGGCTATGGAAAGGAAGCAGGTAGATGAAAAAAGGAAATAAACTCCAGCAAGTAGAAGGGGGTTAGTTCAGAGAATATCGCGGTGCAGGTCGGACAGATGACAGTCCAGGCAAAACTTAAAATCCGCCACAGTGGGTGCCAAGACTAAATTGGCAGGCAGAGAATTCCACGTTCAGCAGATTCGCAAAGCGAAGTAGTGCCGTCTGTAGTTCAGTCAACTGTGCTGATGTGTGAGCCCCAGTGGGTGGCCACATAGGTTGGAGTACCATTGGTGCAGTGTGAGTAGGTAGCGACAGGGATGCCCAGGGTTGGATAAGATCATAAATACAAGCATCAGGTCGCCTGGTATACGTCGGTACTTAAGCCAGCAGAGGTCCAGGCAGTGAAGTCGTGGTGGATAATCTAGATGCTTGAGACCTTGGATCAGTTTCATTTGCTATAAGTTGTGGGGTTTCGAGTATGCTTTAGTCCTTCAACCACCAGAGGCTCCAAGCCTGAATAGCAAACTCCAGGTGGGGTCGAAGTAAGGCGTTGATGAGGAGGCAGAAATTGCTAGGGTCAATTTGACCAAAGGCTCGTTTCAGTAATCCCACCATGCGGTTAGCAGGAAAGACTGGTCTGGGTATTGATACCCCAGTCTTTTTTGGCTGAAGAGATCTGGAGTATAGACGCTCCCAGGTAATATACAGGATAACAAGTGGAAGGGCTGGTAGAAAGGACGCGACATTTCGGAGCGTTAAATGGAAGGTTGTTTTCTATGGACCACTGAAGTAGACGGCCAAGGTCCATCTGAAGTGCGTGGTCATCATCCGGAAGGTTAGTTGTGCGCCACAGTTTAGCGTCATCCGCATATAGCAGCTGCAAAGATTCCACTTGTGGTGTGACGTCATCACTGAAGGCTAGGAAGAGGCGCGGTCCGAGAACAGACCCTTGTGGAACTCCGCTTGAGGTAAGGATGCGTGGTGACAACACTCTGTCAACGCCTACTTGGACGGTACGGCTTTGAAGGTAGTTCCGGATCCAGTTTATCAAGGCCCATGAAACGCCGTAAGGCAACAGTTTCTCTAGTAGCATGTTGTGGTCCACCTTGTCAAAGGCTTTGGCAAAATCCAGGAATATAACATGCGTTTCTAGGCTAGAGTCGGCAGCAATCGTCCAGCTATCTCTGGCAGGTAGCAGGTTACTCGGGCACGACCGTTGCTGCCGGAAATCGTGCTGGCACTCGGAGATCAGTTTCTGGGCCTTCTTGTGGTCTATTAAAGCGTCTGCGACGATCGATTCCATCACTTTGGAGATCGTAGAAAGGAGGGTTATCGGTCGGCAATTGGCAGAGTCTTTGCGAGTACCGCCTTTGTAGATTGGTGTAATAGTCCCACATTTCCAGTCATTGGGAACTTTGCTTTACGAGATGAAGTGGGTAAACAGCTCCGCCAGGGGTAAAGCTAAAGCTGCAGCGCACGCTTGCAAGAGCCTTGGGTGAAAACTATCAGCACCAGGAGAGGCCGTAAGCAGCAGGGACTTGAAATTCGCCAGTACCTTCTCCGGAGTGAAATGAACAGTCATC